TTCGACCGATTCCAGTACTTTATCTTACACACTAGGTGTGTGCGAAAAAGTAAAATTATTGAGCGCTAAAAGAAAACATAGAGGCCTTAGAGTTAAACAACATATAGAATGCTTAGAGTCATAACGGTAAAAATGTGCTGTTCTATGCGCTGAAAATATATATGTTTTAATTTGACATCCATAATTATTATATTTGATTTAATACGATAATGAGATTAACTCAATGAATTCGTTGTCAACATTTTCTCTTTCTGAGCGAGCGCGCGCGAATGAAGGTCTTGTGTTCTATTTTAAATCTCCTCTCCCATTTTTTTCCGAACCCTGAGCCAAATTAAATTAAATTATTCCCTTACTTGGGTAGAACGAAAGATGAATGAATTAAATTAAAAAGGAGATAAGGGGTATGAATTTCACTTTGGAGTGAAACAAAAAACTGAACGAGTTCTCAGTGAGAACTTCTCATGCCTGTCACCAATAATTTTATCAGTTTTTTTTTGTTTTTAACATTTTTCGAAACTTTACACAGTAAAAAAAGAAAGAAGATGTTAATTATTCGATTAGATAGTGTATTTTAACATGAAAATGGAGTTAGTATAAACTCCGTTATATTTTTTTAGATTTTTCCAAATTTGGAATGCATTTTTCCATTTTTGGTAGGCATTTTTCCAATTTTGAAATGTGTTTTCCCCATTTTTGGAATGCGTTTCTCCTAATTTTGGAATGCGTTTTTACTAATTTTGGTATGCATTTTTCCAATTTTGATCAGCGTTTCTCCATTTTTGTCCTGCGCGTTTTCCAATTTTGGTATGCATTTTTCCATTTTTAGTTTTCGTTTTTCCGATTTTGGTATGCATTTCCCCAATTTTGTTATGCATTTTTCGTACCACCATTGATACATAATTTGTAATAGAGGCCGCCTAGGAGCTCGGAAGTATTTTGTTTTGCGTATAACCAGGCATATTCACGAATATTCACACACATTGACTAGAGCTGTCGTTCGTTCGTAGCGTTTTTTTATTTACATTTTCGTTATGTTCGGAGAAAAAAAAACAATATATTTGCTTGAGATTTGGAAGTGAATTTTAAAACGTTTGAATTTATTGAATTTAAATTTTTACGAACGACCGACCGACTATTAATAACTTCAACGAACGAACGACCGATCACAAAAAAGTATTACATATTTTCACTTACGAACGAACGACCGATTTTTCGTGCCCAGCTCTGATTACTTACCATTAGACTTTGTTTATAAAGATGGCGCCACGTTAGGTGGAGTTCGGCTCATATATACACAAGTCCATATAATGCTAGTCAGGGTGGCATTCATTGTGTTTATTCCTTTTTTTTCCAAAAATTGGTAAGTGATATGTTATTGTATGCTGCACATTTATATGCTAAATGGTGTGGAAGAAAAAACTTATTTTTTGGTTCTTTTATTTAAAATTGTATATTTATTCTAAAATGTTTCGGTGGCAAAATTTAAAGAAAGTGTTATATATTTTTATATTTAAAATATTTCCCAAATGATTCACATTTTCGTCTCAAGCATAGAAAAAGGAAAATTAGAGTAAATATTTATTTGTACTTTAGTGCAAATTTACAAGCTAAAAGAAAATCTTTGAATATCTTCCAAATGGAAAAACTTTCGTGCGTACATTTGGTCAAACGTGGTGAGAAATATTTTTGTTGTGGCAGAAAAAAGACAAAAAAAATCAGTCAGTGGCGTTTGGCTGTGGTTGCGTGGTTGCTGTTACTGTCGTTGGCTCATCTTCAGTTGTAGTGACAGTTGCTGTTGGCGATTCTTGTACATCATCAACATAGGGCTCCTCGACTTTGGCATCGTCATTATTGGCCGTTGTTAATCGCTGAACACGACATTTTCGACGCCATTCACACAATTTGAACACACCATCAATGATATATGTAATGGTCGCTGCAATTCCACATATCTGCAATACAAAAACAAAGTACGACCGTAAAGAGAATGTTTAAACATACAAGCAACAAAATTTAACCGGGGTAGTAAAAAAAACTTTAAACTCCAAGAGTAGAAACCATTACCGCTATAGTAATACTATATTAAAAGTGCCAATAGTTTCTAGTTGTACACATTTCGATCACAACAGTTTTTGTGAACTCCAATATGAACGATGTAACTCTTTGTATGTTCAAATATGAATTTAAAAAAGAACATAATATTATGGTGTCTGATAATTTATAAATTTCACGTTAAGATTCTTTTAAAGACGCACAGTACAAAAAAATCATCTGATACTATACGAAAAACAGCATAGTAGTTCATGCAATTTTTGGTATAGAAATGCTATCACCATACTTGTCAACGTCTCTACTATTCGACGAAGATCCGCACAAAGAGGAACAAATAAATGACGAAAATGCATATGGTCATCGAATTTCTATATCAAAAAACGTATGAACCTGCCTAGTATGGTACCTTTTTCTCGGATAGTATCGGATGATATTTTTTTACTGTGAATCAACTGGATTGCGTACCAAAATAAAGAGTCTTACGGGAGTAAGACGAACTTTTCCGCACGGTGGTAGTTGCGTATTTTATTAAGCAAGTTCAAAATAATATTTGTTCGATTTTTCAAGCGGCGTAAAGTTCGAGACCAAAAAATATGTTCAAACCTTGGCATCGAAATATTCTTTAATTTGATAGCAGAAGTACCCGAGAAAAGATCTTTCACACTTTCATGATGAACCCATTTGTTCCCAAAAATTGAAAATTTTGTATGGGAGGTACCCCTAATTTTGATTGAAATCTCTTCTTTAAAAAAATTTGCGTACGGCGGACAACGTACAACGTACAAAGTGGAACAGACCCACAACAACCATGCCCAAAACGGCTTGATTCGGGTTCTCTGACCTCAGAAACGTCCAGAAAACATGTTTTTGAGGTGTCGTAAATTTTGACCCATTGCAATACTTTCCCCTTACACACTAGGTGTGTGCGCCGCACTGTGCGGAAAAGTAGAATGAAATAAAATTAAGCGGACCATCCTAGCCACTATAGAGCCTCAAGTTAACTTATCAAATTAAATTTGCGGCATTTTTAGCATAAACTTGTAAGCACTACATACATAAAAATAGTTTAGTGGAACGATGTTTTTGGTTTTGATGCTACGAGCGTATCAATTCACATATACATACCAATATATATTAGAATTACATTTAATTGAGTTTATTTCGTATTTGGTCGTATTTATATGCAAAACCGTTCGTCACATATAACCCAAATAACCGGAAACATAATATCATAATTTTCGGGATTAAAATATATTTTATTATTTTTTTGTACATCGAATATAACCTAATTGCATGCTCAATATCCATTGGACACAATAGAATTATATAGTCCAATGTTATGAGTCAAGTTTTTTTTCTCTTACGCTTGAAAATTGATGGTCAAAAGCCAAATAACATATTATGCACACATAAATATGTGCATTATATTATATGAACAATTATTCAGGACCAAATAGCAGACGAGAGAGAAGAAAAACGAATAAGAAAGAATCGTTGTAGCATAAAAATAAATTATTTGTACAAACCGTTGCTATTAATTGTCTTGGGCAGTCATTGCGATAACATTCAATTGTCGCCAATACCATTGTCACACAGCCATAAACATATACGATTATTAATGCACACTGTATCAGCAATTCGTTACGCAGCCATTTTAATGAGTTACGCAGATCGATAAACGCCACCACCGAAATCAATGCTATGATGGAAAAGCATGCTCCAGCAATCGCAATAGCATTGAATTTAATAACATTCTTGACATCGTAATATGGATTTTCCGCCCCACGGACAAACAGAATTGCCAAAATGTTGAATATCTGAAATATATATATTATATATTTTATGAGAATAACCATTTGCGAAGAAAAAAAATGAATAAAAATATCCAAACTAAGACATCGAATGATACACACACAGTAGCACAATTGCGTATTTATATATATAAATGCAAACATGGAAGCGTCATACGTGACCCTACGTGTGTGCATTATATGCGAAACAGCAGCAACAACAGCAATAGTATAAACGATGGCAATAACACATAAACGTGCGCGTCACTATTTTTATATATTAGCGTGAATGCGCGCATCCATCAAACTCTTTTAAGGTTAGATTTTTAACCGTTATACCATTATGTACTATAGGGTGTGTGTCATTTTCTAAATATGGCATGCATTCGAATTGAAAAAGAAAAAACCAGCTGCTGCACGAATTGCATGCAATGAAATTGTGTTGATTTGTTTATTTGGATGAATTTAAAATCAAAACATCAGAACTTACCAACGCCACTATGCGTAAAAAGGCTGGCAGCGTCGTTAGGTAGCGGTAATCAATGGATTTAGGCATGTTGACAATAAGCGTTCTCAATTGAATTCGAAAGATGTTGAAGTTTGTAAAAAAATCACTACTTTTATTGCTCGACCTCTTAACACATGCACTTTAATTTACGTTTTTTTCTTCAGTATTATAGATTGACAAAACGCGCCCACTACGTTAACATGTATCCGGTGCTACACACACACTGAATTTATAAATTGCGAACCATAATTCAGAATGCCTCATGCATGAATATGAGATGAATAAAACCACGGTGTGTAGCGTGTGTGCGTTCTATTTGAGATTATATTATTATATATTTCTTTCTTTTTTTTAAATGATGCTTACAAAAATACTGTTTATTTTTTATGGTAGTTTTACACGATACGCGTTCACTTTTCACACACTCTTTCTCCCGCTGGATGAACAATACACACCGAACGCGAAAAGAACACTCTGTCAGCTTAACTTTTTTGCTCAAAATTTTCTATTGACTCTGCTCAAAAGCGACAACAACGCAGCAATAGCACCAAGCGTACAATAAGCACCGAACAACAACAACGACGCGTTGCTCGCAAGTACACAACAACTAGTAACGCTTACTCGTTTACTCTATCTCTTTCTATTAACCTCTTGTTCGCTTGCTCGATTTTATTGTTGCTATTGAAACGTTGAATACAAAACTACGCGGTATATACATGACCATTTGATTCTGAGCACAAATTAATACTAGATGAGTTATAACATGACGCGCGGATGAAATTGTTTTATTTTTCTCTTTTTCTCTGTCATTCGGTTGAACTATGATGGCTTAAAGAGAGACAATAACATAGAAAATCACCATCGATGCTTCAGTTTACTGAGCCCAATCTTCTGTGTAGGTCATTTTTTTCTATTTCTCTCCAAATTTAAACAGTTCTCCAGTTCGACCATTAGTTCTATCTCAACGGAAAGAGTTAGTTAGTTACACTAAAAGTTACACATCAACAACAACCTGGCAACAATTGGAGTTTCAAAGAAAATGGAAATTGAAAGTTTGAAATTCTTCTAGTTAGATTTTTAACTTTTGAATTTTCCTTTCTTTTTCCATTTTTGACACAAATATTCTTTCTCTTTCTAACTATTACTCATTCGTTATGAATTTAATGCGACGTAACGTATATCCTAATGACAATAGCGTACGATTCACGATGCACGATGCATTCTAGCAAACGGCATCAGGCAAAAACAGATGTAACAACTGAAAATAACCGTAACACCGAAAAAATGTGTATGTGTGTGGAATGTGATGTCGACTGAAAGAAAAATTGATGAATATAGAATGAATCGAATTGAAAAGTATTCGATATATATATAAAAAAAAATCGAAACCAGGGAACCATACATATGTAAGTATGAGAGAAAATAAGAATAAATTCGACCGAAAACTATTTATACAAAATAGAACAAACGAATCGAGTGTAAACAGAAACAACAACAACATGTATTATGCAGTATACAATACTGTATGTGTGTGTGTACTACGGCCGAATACAATAGTAAACAGAGAAAATTGAGGTGATTGAATAGAAAATACACGAGCGCTATGATGCATGAACATAGAACATTGAATAAAAGCACTGAATACGTTCTTTTCTGTTGCTGCTACTGCTGCTGCTGCCTTCTTCTATATGTGTTTTATTCAATTCTTCGTCTCCCTCTTTTGCTTTTGGGTTTTGACCATCTTTTCCTCCCCCGGACCGCATTCAATTCTATCACATTGCTATTGCTGTTGCTCTTTTTCTTCTCTTGTTTGCTTCTCAACTGCTCGAGAGAATTTAAATATAAAAAACACACTTCAATCATTGTCGAAAAGGGAAAAAAAACTAAACACACACACAACTGAAATTGTATGTAAAAAACACACACACAGAATAGACATTTATGTACACACATATGTATACATGTATACATAGTCCATTTTGAGTGCATCGAAATGTCGAAAAATGTAAGTGGCTGCGACCATTTCTCTGGAGTTCAATTCTTTCGGTCTCTATATACTTTTTTGTATGTCCATCAATAAAATTATTCATCATCATCATCATCATTATCATCATCGAAAGCAGCAGCAACGTTCTACAATAGAAAATGTGAATTAACATGCTAAAGGGCAACAATATTAACTCACAAAATTACTGAGCTCTCAACGTTTCGTATAAATAGAATGAAAAAGAGAAATGAAAATTCAATTACTCAAATTCATCGAATCACTTTATCACAAATATTTTAATGGCCACACTAACATATGTCTCATAAACATTGAGAGTAAATTGAAGCGTACGCTATTTAAACACATTTACAGTACACTGAATGGACCATTGAATGGACAATTTTTCCGTAACTTATTTTGCTGATTACTAATGATCGTGTCTAAATCTATTGTTTTTGTTCAAATTTGGATGTGCTGTAACCATAAGAATCACCAAAAATGAATTTTTACTTGACCAACCCGGTTTTCGGTACATGATGACAATTTTGAAGGGTTTGAGCATTTAAATTGGGAATACGACCGTACTTTTTGCTTTCTCTAGAATCTTTATATTCATATTAAGTCCATGAAACACGATACATGGTTCGAAGACAAATTGGTTCATCTTTAGACACATGCAGGATTTGTTTTGAACTTGGCTGTCCAAAACCAATTGAGACACTTTTTCGTAAATCCAATTTGTACGACATTGCGAATGGATGTATTTCGTCGAATTGAGTTTGATAGTAGTCTCGAGGTACTGATAAACGTGCCGTGTGCATTGGTTGATATTTTTGTTTTTGTTTATGTAGCGCAATCAACGCTTCAATTTACTCTCAATGTTTATGGATATATGTTATTTCACACGAAATAAACTCACACAATTTACTTCATTTCGATTTATAGTATCGAAAATCGTATTTTCTTTAACTTACTCACACTCTCTTTCACTCTTCTATAGACTCTATTTAAATTGAATCTAATTGCATTTTCTAACGACGACTCAATCACTCAATTCATCAACATATAACATATGTTTATTTTGAAAGAAACTCGTTGAATTTCAAGAATCTATAAATCAAACCTATAAACAGAATTCTTGATTTGAGTTCAATCTGACCGTGATTATGAAATATCATTTGAAATAGGATGAAATTTAAGGTAATGGAATCTATAAATAAGTTTATTCAACCGCATAGGGTTATGACTCAATAAAAGTTGAAACAAATTGATCTGATTATATCAATTGATTGAACTATTGTACTGATTTCTCTTATTGGTTTTAATATTCTAGTTATTTTATAGCTCACAAATATAGTTTTGCGCGCATGATCAACACATCAACATTTGGTCTCTTTTATATCATCACTATATTGCGATAAGTGGAATTTTATGGTTGCAATACTCTATGTTTCTTAATCATTTGAATGCTGCATCGAAATGTTTCATTTGATTAAATATGATTGTGATGTTTCACAAGAGAAAAGCCGAATCGCTCTGTCGCTGCGACGTTGCGTTATCGTGTCTTAATCGACGAATTAAAACTGGAAGAGTTAATGCGACACAGTTACATACATACATACACACAAAGACAGAATTTTTTCGAACCAATCTACAATTGAAAGCCAGAAACCCAAAACAAGTTATAAAAATTCTTTTCGGAAAAAAAGCATAAGAATGTTTTTTAAATGAAAAAGGCGATAGAAAAAAACTGAGAGTTAAAAGAGCATTTACAGAACTGAGAATTAAAACAGAATATAAATTCAGTTAGCGACAAAACAAACAAGCGATATGTTATATTTTGACTCCCAGTTTTTATTCGTCTCATGTTTTTAACGAAAGCAAATATAATAAAATGTCTTACATCCGTAAGATGAACTTTTCCGCACTGTGATCCACAACATGCATTTATTACAAATCCTTTACTCAAAGAATTTACGAGAAAACTGAATTTGACATTAGTTTTACGATAAAAATGGGAATATTTTTGTATCGGAGCCATGCCTATATGATATCGTAATCATGTAATCATGTAAAAATTTGCAGAGGTTATTTTTTTCACAAAAAGTTAACATTCTGAAAGTTTGAAGAAATTTCAATGCATATTAGGGATACTTCCCATACAAAATTTCGTTTTTGAGCGAAAAATCCAAAATTTTGTTCGGTAGGTACCCCTAATATGCGTTGAAATGTCTTCAAACTCTCGAAATGGTATTTTTTTGTGATAAAAATAACCTGTGCAAAGTTTCAGCTCATTACGATATCATACAGACATGAATTTCATACATAAATTCAATTTTTTTGAAATTTTTGTATGAAATGTGTGTCGGAAGTTATTTGTAAAAAATATTTAACAAAATCAACAAAAATGTGTGCATTGAATTTTAATTATTTCGGTTTGCATGTGTCTCGTTTCTCTCAGTCAGTGCTTTAAAAATTCCTCATTACTAAATCGTATTACTTGGTATTTTTCGGTATTCTTATTGTACTAGATCGTATTACTGGTATTAGACGTACTTAGTACTATCCCCCTTGGCAATAGCAGTTTTATGGTGGTGAGAATGTGTATGTTCTAAAGCATCGGAAAGTCAGTCCGATTGGCTGTAAAAAGGAAAATAATTTATATGTTAGCTAGACTATTTATATTTTTTTTTTCGTGCCATCAAATGGATATAAACGATATAGTGGCAATATCAAACGTTCACTTCTTATTCCAGACATCTTGGAAAGAAAACAACAAAAAAACATCAAACCATATCACATTGCCGAAGAGTAAACTGAAATGATGAGCCAACGCGAGGATTCCTGCTATCATTCAACAATAAACCGTCAGAGCATTGACAACGCCAACTGCTAACTACGACAGCATCGGCGGCAGATAAGAAATACATATTTTTTATTGTTTTTCTTACGATACAAATGTATCCATGGGAATAAAAGTGGCAATACAAAAACGGAATCTGAAGAACGTCACATAA